AATCTCGTGAAGTTCCTAAATCCTTCACCTAGCTTATAAGGTCTGATAGAAGATTGTGACGACAGTACGAACCTTGATCTAGAAAATTTTGGGTCTATTCCTAGGTTCATTTCATTTCAATATCTTTATTCAATAATTGTACATTGTACATTGAATAGTGTCAGATTCCTAACCTAGTAAATAAAGTTATAAGCTAAAATTACAATTTATATAATACTAAGAAACTACCAATAAAATCAGGTTAATTGGGGAAACACCTCTTTAATGGAGTAAGGAGCGATTTCTATGAGATAATTTTTTAATTTGTTTTAAAATTTGATTGAGTTGCCAATGGGTTTTAAATTATTTGGAAGAAACCGTAAAAATCTTCTTCCGGCACAGGTGGGCTTTTTATTTGAAAATAAAAGATGGTTGCGACTATTTTCTCTTAGGGCTTTTCCTCTTGTATTGTAGCATAATTGTGCGTTATCTGATATACTTTCTTTTGCTATGAGAGCAGTTTCAAAAATGTATTGGGCAAACACAGTTAATATTTAAAAATTTTTGAAATGATTTTTAACACATTCATCATTTTTTTGTCCCATCATTGTTCTTAATGCCCTTTGCTGTAATTTTAAGATTCGATTAAGATTTTTCTTAGTTGTAGCTCCATATAAAGATATACCGTATGAAATGTGGCTATGGACAAGAGAATGATATATTGTTTTCAAAGTATTGATATTACATAGATATGACATCTTTTTCAAAGCAAATATCCCTGAATTTATCTTTGAGCAAACATGATCGACGTGGTCCTGCCAGGATAGATGTTTATCAACTTTTAAACCTAAAAAATCTATTTTTTCAACTTGTTTGATTTCATTGGGATACAAAATAATCAACGGTTCTATTTTGTTTTTACATTGCTTAGTTGAAAATGATATAAAATTAGTTTTACTTTTGTTTATTTTGAGATTGTTGGATAGTAAGTAATTTTTAATATTTGCAAGTTCTATAAAGGTATCTATTTCGATGTGTTCTACTGTTTTTCCTGTGATTTTTAAGTTAATGTCATCAGCATATAAACACATATTTCCACAAGGTACACACGACAGTACATTTGGAATCTTATCAATGTAGCAAAGGAATAAAACAGGGCCTAGTATTGAACCCTGAGGGACACCAAAGTGATTAAGTTTTATTTCTGATCTGTTTTTTACCAGCCAATTATTTTTATTAGACACTAGCTGTAACCCGCGGGCTTTGCCCCGTTTAACTTCTTAATTTTCAAGATTATCTCGTTCGCATGGCTCAATCACGTCCTGGTTGAAGTTTGTTCGCTACGCTCACTCACCTTTAGGTTGGAGCTCGTTCGCTACGCTCACTCACCTTTAGGTTGGAGCTCGTTCGCTGCGCTCACTTGCCTTCAGGTTAGCTCGTTCGCTACGCTAACTCGCCTCCAGGTTGGAGTTCGTTCGCTACGCTCACTCACCTTTTGGTTGCAAATTAGCTGTTGTCATAAATGTAAAAGAAATAATAGTGCTGCACCCTGTTGGTAATCCTTGTAACTTTAATGATATTGAACATCATAGAACAAAACCAACTTGTTTAATTGAAACAGCTGTTAAGATTCAATAATTCCATTTCTCATAAGGTTAACATGGGAAACTCCAGAGCCACTGGGGCGGAGCCCGAAAGGATTTTTGAAATAAGAATATGCCTATATGTTAATCGGGAATGTGAGCTATCATCATGCCAAATTTCAGCCCAATCCGACCAGTATTTTTTGCGTTCACTTGTCACAAACATACATCCATACATCCATCCATACATCCATACATCCAAACTTTCTCATTTATAATATTAGTAGGATGATTTCACGTATTGCTTTCTATCCGATAAATATGATTTGAACCACGCCAAAATGTGACCTCTTACTCCCATATCTTTTAGTTTGAGTATTAGAGTTTGGTGACATACCCTATCAAAAGCCTTCGTAAGGTCCACTGATATTCCTATAACATTTTCGTGGCTATCAATTGAATTTATTATACTTTCAAAAAAACTTGAAGCAGCTGTAATTGTTGATCTGCCTGAGCGAAAACCATGTTGGCCACTAAATAGAAGGTTGTTATTTTCTATAAAAGACACTAGCCTAATTTTCATTGCCTTTTCAAATAATTTTGAAATAACTGGCAAAAGTGATATTGGTCGATAGTTTTCTACGCACTGAGGGTCCCCCTTTTTGAAAATAGGCACAACCTTAGCAACTTTTAATAATTTTGGAAAATGACCGGATATAAAAGATGAATTAATTAAATGAGTAAAAATTGGAACTAGTTCTTGTTTTGTATATTTTATTACTTTAACGGGAATTTCGTCATGCCCACGTGAAGGTTTGTTACTTAAAGAGTTTATCAGTTTTTCTACTTCCTCACATGAAACAGGTTCACATCGAAATAATGTTTTAGATTTGACACAATTTGCTAGTACTGGCTGGTGATTATCTAACAACTTATTACAGTTTACAGAACCATTCTTTCCAGATAAACTTAGAAAGTAGTCATTTAGTACATTAGATATTGCCCTGGGATCTGCAATAGTTGTTCCATTGTACGCAATGGTCATGTCATTCACTAAGTTATTTTCTTTGTTACCTACTTCTTTATTTATAATTTTCCAGGTTGTTTTTATAACATTACCCGAGTTATTTATTTTTTCATCGTAGTGTAATCTTTTAGTTTTGTTTGCCGATTTTTTAAAAGTCTTCATTTTTGTTTTACAGAGGTTAGACAAGTTTTTGTCTTTTATTAATCTAGCTAATTTTGATGATTCCACGATTTCGTTGAATTCCTCCTTTAATGAATAAGTATACCACTCTTTACTGTTAGTTTGTTTCTTTATTACTTGTTTTGGAAATGCTGTGATAAAATGTGATTTGAAAATTTTATAAAATGTTTTGTATTTTTGTTCACAGTTTGCATTAAAAACTTCAAACCAGGACTCGTTTTGTAATGATATTTTGAAATTAATTAGATTTTCATCCTATGCCCCATGGTTCAGAAATATGAACACGGGATATAATTACGTCCTCCTCGGTTGCCATACCAACAAACACAGAAACACTGGCTGGCTAGTGTGGACGCAAAACACATCGGAAACTTGTATGCAAATCTGTGTAGACAGACTGTCGGCAGATGATCGGCCGACTGTCTGTCGACTATCCGCCGTCCGAGCCGACTAAGTCTGCATGTGTGGACTAGGCTTTAGTTTGTTAAATGATGTTGCAAATTTAGTTCATCACACAGGCGAAAAGTTCTTTTCAACCCCCGGCTTCGCCTCGGTCGTGAAACTTGAGCTCAGGTCGAAAAGAGTCACTTTACGCACTTTTGTGTATATGAAAATAGCTCATATATCCATACAGCTGAGTTTTAAGGAAATCATTGTTTTCCATTCTACCAAAACATTATGATTTTGCTTTCATTATATTTACTGTCCCAAACAAACTTTTTCCTTTCCCAAAAAAATCAAGTTTCCGTTCAGTTCAAAAGGAGTGCTGGTGTATGTATTATTTTATTACAGAACATATCTGGCAGCTGACTTTTAAATAAATTGTAAACTATATGGAAGTTTGACAGAGGATTACTAGATAATGGAATAGCGTTGGGTGTGTTAGATTATTTTATTAATCAAAACCAAGTAGGTAGCTTTGTGTGTGATTATTTGCATGATTGAAGAAAAGTATTGTTCATTATGCATCACAAAAGTTCTATTTTAGGGGTAGATTTCGGCTCGCTAGAAAACCACTATCTTTCCCCAAAATGTGTCACTTTCGGGGCTAGTAGTAGACCTATAAGAAATAGCCTAGTGCAAAATTATTAGTAGGTTTACATTTGAAGTTTTGAAGAAAAAATCATATTTTTATGTGTGATGAACAATTTATTTAAAATACACAAATAAAAATATTACAGTTTAGTAATATTTGTTTTGTTTAAAAACTGCACAATATACCAAATACAGGGAGCGGCAGAAATATCTGACGGTTTTCAAGCGAGTACAGTCCGGCAGCCAAGTGGAGGAGGGTGGTGGGGAGCGGCTCATTCTCAAGGCCAAGTGACCCCATTTCAGTCGCCATAGAGCAGTGGACCGGTATACATCGCGCGTTTGTCGTTGAGGCGTATTTTAAAAATGGCGATTCTGTTGTTGATACGCAACGTAAGTTTCGTAGGCATTTTAATGTGGCTCGTGGGGAACCTATCCCATCCCGAAACACCATCAAATTGTGGGTGGATACCTTTAGATCCACAGGATCAACTGCAAAACGTAGGCCTACAGGCCGTCCAAGGTCAGTGAGGACGCCGGAGAACGTGGAGCGAGTGCTACAAACTGTGCTAACGAGCCCGCATCGCCCGGCGCGTGGACAAGCTGCTGCTCATGGCTTGGCTCATGACGAATTTTGCTGAAGTTTTTGGACGATTGCTATTTTATATGGGTGAAAGTGAAGGTCTGAGTGCAAAATTTGTCGAATAGAGAGCTCAGACATGCCATGAGCAGCAGCTTGTCCACGCGCCGGGCGATGCGGGCTCGTTAGCACAGTTTGTAGCACTCGCTCCATGTTCTCCGGCGTCCTCACTGACCTTGGACGGCCTGTAGGCCTACGTTTTGCAGTTGATCCTGTGGATCTAAAGGTATCCACCCACAATTTGATGGTGTTTCGGGATGGGATAGGTTCCCCACGAGCCACATTAAAATGCCTACGAAACTTACGTTGCGTATCAACAACAGAATCGCCATTTTTAAAATACGCCTCAACGACAAACGCGCGATGTATACCGGTCCACTGCTCTATGGCGACTGAAATGGGGTCACTTGGCCTTGAGAATGAGCCGCTCCCCACCACCCTCCTCCACTTGGCTGCCGGACTGTACTCGCTTGAAAACCGTCAGATATTTCTGCCGCTCCCTGTACAAATCATTAAGGTAATAACAGTGTTTGAGGTTACCTATCCAATGAATTTGCAGGGTGACGGAGGCGGTCCGCTAGCATGCCCCAGCAAGAGTGACCCCCAGGTGTACGTACAGGCTGGTATTGTGGCGTGGGGCATCGAATGTGGCACTGGCACTCCTGGGGTCTATGTCAATGTGCCATACTTTGTCTCCTGGATCAACAACAAGCTGCAGCAAAGAGGCATCTACTTAGAGTAAATAATATAAAAATATTAAGGCAGTTAAAGAAATTGTGTTTTACGAAACAGATAATTTTATACCTAAATACATATGGTTTTTATAATTAATCTGGTTGTTTGGTAGCCATACCTACAAGGAATACAAATGTTTTTGAAATATAACAACAGTTGGAAATAAAAAAGGGAGAAAATCATTTAAGTAGCAACCTGAAAGATTGTGTCCAAATTAGAATAGTAATATTGAAATAACATAAACGATAAACTCCTATGGTAAAAGTAAAAAATATGGCATACATTGCTCATATGTAGCAACAAAAAAAGACACAACAAATGCTATCTTAATTTAAGCTCTGTATCAAGATAACGTAGCTACTTTAATACCAGTATAAATATTCGCAAAATCTGACATTTCTAAAACCGTCCTTGTACCAATCTGTTGAGTATGCCTAATCCATACAATACTAGCAACCACTGGCAGTTAACAGTACCTGTAACTGTGTACGTGAGGTAAAGAAGTGTATTGGAATTGTTATGATACTTATTTTTAGCGATGTGTTAAGTTTGCCCAATTCTGGAGAAAAACCTTTCATTGGACGCATCTCCCACTACTGTTCTTCAACCTGTAAAATACTCAAACTTTGTTATAAACGTTTTGTTTGATTACAATGTAACTTTGGCAAAGTCCTATACAGTAGAACCTCTTTAATCGAAACTAATAGGTACCGGGGGTAGTTCAGACTATTGAATAGGTCGGATTACAGAACATTTGTTGTTTTTCCATAGGTAACAATAGCTAAAACATGGCTAAAATGGAGCATAATTGTTACTGAAAAAGTGAAAAATGCTTTATAATAATTGCTTTATAATTGCTTAAGTAAAATACAATGTTTATTTAATACGGTTGTAAACAGAGTGAATGAACAGTATAGAAACAATTATGGTGCGTATATCAATAAATACAGTATACAATAAAAGAACTACTGTACTGTCTATAGACTATAGCAATGAGGCATTCGGATTAGTGGACGTTTGGATTACAGGGGTTTGGATTGAAGAGGTTCTACTGTACAGGGCATAAGCTATTACCGCAGTTCTTATGGTAAGACCTAGACTCGGGACCGATTGACTTTCTCCTTTTGATGTCCCCAGAGGCCAAAAGCATGATCTGTTCAAATTCATATGTGCGTTTGTGTTTGTGTCTGATAACTCGAGCAAAGTCCATCAGATTTTGATTAAATTTGGTACAAACTTGTGAACCTACTTTTATTCTAGTGAGTTTGCAAACCTGCATGATCGGACCATGGGAAAAATATGGGTAAAAATAGAATTTTCTCATTTTGGCCCTTAAAATATAACTTTTTAAAACTTCTTTCTAAACCGTTTTGTAGAGCTTGAAAAATTATTTAGCACATTGAAGCGCTGTTGCATGCCTAGCCTATTGGTTGTAGAGAAAACTCCTAATACTGTTACCTAAACTCAAAATTATATCTTCTGGAGAGTAAATTAATTGCTGCAATTTGCTTGTTTTTGGGTATATTATTTTTACAAAATTTGGCAAATCTATTTATTTTATACCTAGCTATTATCCTTTCACTTAAAATATAAAAACATTTTTACCTACGACCGTTTTTTAAAGTAGCCGTTTCAGTACAGTTCTTAGAATTGAAAAGTATCTCATAACAGCATTGTTTACATTCATAACAGCATAGTTTTACTCATAACAACACGGGTAACGGACCAATGAGGTTCAAGGATTGAGAGAGGAGAAGCAAAATTGTAATGATTCAAAATTCAACTAATCAGCTGTTCAGGCCAATTTAATTGTTGATTGGTGCAATTAGTAATTGATACAACGTTTCGTTGCATCAATGTCAGTGGCAATTAGAGGTTATAAACAAAAACATAACCTCTCTTAGAATTTATGAGTAGGCCTAGTGATTTTTAGTAATTAAAACACCGTCGTAGGTAAAATAGTGTACGCAACTCGCGTAAATAGTGTTAACGACACTCGTAGAAGTTTTTAAGGCACTCGCCAAGGCTCGTACCTTAAATTTTCTACTCGCGTCGTTAACACTAACTTTACGCAATCGTTGCGTAAACTACTATATTACCATCCTTGTAGCAGCAAACCTATGTAGGCCTACTTGTTAAGTCTAATGTTATTTGAATAGGGAATTAATCACCAGATTAATTTAATTTATTAAATTAATATAATAAATTAATTGTTAAATTAATTAATAAATGTAATTAATTTAATCCACAGTCCTATTTAAAAAAGATATTTTAGTGAAAGTCAAATCAGGCAAATGGAAATTCGGTTAGCCTGCAGGTTTGCTGAGGCGGGGGTATTTAACTATAGTTTTGAACCATGAATGGCAATACCATTAAAACTTCCCTACCACCTGATACACTTTAGTAAATTTGGTGTTGTGAGATCCGGTACCAGTAGTGAATGTGTATTTTAGCATAGACAAATAGAATAAATATAGACTGTCAAAGGAAGGTTCCGGCGCCCACCACTAGGGTTTGCCGTGTAGTTACGGCGCACACTGCTGCAGGGTGGGAGCGCAGGAGCCGTATGCGACCAGCAGACGCTGCAGCGGTGTGCGCCGTAACTACACGGCAAACCTAGCGGTGGACGCCAAAACTTCTGCTAACCGCAGCACAGCTGACGGTCTATATTTGTTCTATTTGTCTATGATTTTAGTTATAAAAACGTTCCTTACCAGCTGTTTCTGGCAGTAGGGCCTAAATGTGATAAAGGCAGGATGAGGTTTTTTAATACAACTATTCAAACTCTCAGCTTTTTTCAAAGTTAAAAATTACATGGTAATACTATTATTTGTAAAATAATACTATACTGTATAGTTTGTGGTGGAAGGAAAATACATAGGTGGGCTATTCCCCTCAGATGCTGACGTCAGTTAGATTGCAAACACCATTTTACTATTTATGAAAACAAGCTGTTTGGCCCGTCCTACGAATGGGAATCGAGTAGTCCATTAAAACTGTATATAGTGTGTCTATTATTAATTCAAGTAAAGTTTAAGCAGTTCAAAACGTATACGAGGGCTGTTTTTTTTCAACCTCCGATTGGCTATAAATAAAAGACAAGTCCATATAAAATAATACATTTATTAACAAAATAAAGGTACTTACGGCTACTTTTCGACATAATCGCCATAGAGATTCAGACATTTGTCGTATCTGTGGACAAGCTTTTGTATGCCCTCCTCATAGAAGGTTGCCGCCACCGCATTTAGGTAGTTTTTGACGTTGGTTTGGAGCTCCGCATTGTTTTGAAAACGCTTCCCACCAAGCCACGTCTTCAGATTAGGAAAAAGGTGAAAGTCGCTGGGTGCAAGGTCAGGACTGTATGGCGGATGATCGAAAATGTCCCATCCAAATTGGTCGAGAAGCTGTTGAGTTGCTCCAGCAGTGTGTGGACGGGCATTGTCATGGATCAAAACAACTCCAGAAGTCAGCATTCCTCTTCGTTGGTTCTGAATGGCTCTATGCAAACGTCGTAAAGTTTCACAATAAACAGCTGCAGTGATTGTGGTTCCAGGTTCCATGAATTCCACAAGCAACACACCTTTTTGGTCCCAAAACACAGTAGCCATGGCCTTTCTGTAATTAAAGGTTTGTTTGAATTTCTTTGGTTTGTTTGGTGAATTTTAATGCATCCATTGTTGTGATTGTCGTTTTGTTTCCGGTGTGTCGTACTGAATCCAAGTTTCATCCCCAGTCACGATTGAGCTAAAAAAGTCGTCTCCGTCATCATGGTAACTGTAGCGTAATCAAAAGGTTATTGTAGAAATAATAAAGTGGACTGTATATGGGTTATTAATTTAATTTTGACAACAGAAAATAATTATGGACTTTTGGTTGTTGTCTCTAGTTGAGAAGATATGTTTCATGAATGTCCAAATGTTCTCACAGTACACAGAATTTAGAGTCAAATTAAAAAGGGTTTATTAAATGCACACAAAAGGAAAAGGTAAATGAAACAAGTCAAAATAAAAGGAGAGAGAAATGAATGATGTTACACAAAGAAACGATATTACGAGAGAGAAAAATTTCACTTTTTGAACCAGAATGTTTACATTTTCAAAATTTTATTATTGTATTGTTGTTGACATGTGGGGATTATTTTAATATGGTCATATGGTCAGCTGGCCTTTTACTGAACATACCGGCCTCCATAAAACGATAGTTTTATAACAATGAACACCAAATTGTGCAAAAACGGAGCACTGAAGAATATTTTGGATATTTTTACAACTATTTACAGGTCTTTAAGTTTTATGGCTTAGTTTTGAGGGAGAGGGAACACTTTAACAACTGGTCTAGTAAGGTAACCGTGTTGAGTCTTCAGATCAACAACCCTGACTTGTCCATCTGTGCCAGGATGCAACTGTGTGACACAGGCTAAGGGCCAGGACAAAGGAGGCGATGAAGAGTGAATCAAGACTAGATCTCCAACTTTTATGTTTTCTGTTTTGTCCATTTGGATCGTTGCTGGAGTGTATGAAGGTACTCTAGTTGCCAGCGCTTCCAAATCCTTTGGTGGAGAGCTTGTACTAGATGCCATCTTTTGAGCCGAGTTAGTGGAATATCAGCATGGTCTTCTTCTGGAATTGATGCCAGCGGAGATCCTATGAGGAAATGTCCTGGAGTGAGTGCTGAACAGTCATTAGGGTCGTTAGATAATGGTGTCAAAGGACGGGAATTGAGGATTGCCTCTATTTGTGTAGTCAGAGTCATGAATTCTAGGAGAGTAAGAATGTTGTCACCCATGACACGGCGCAGATGGTATTTGACACTTTTCACTGCTGCTTCCCAAAGACCACCTTGATGGGGCGAAGCAGGAGGATTGAAGTGAAAATTTATTTTCCTGGATGAAGTGAAATGCAATAGGTGTTCTTCAGATTCTTTGGTGCGCAGGGTGTTTTTGATTGTTCGACGCAGTGCAGAATCAGCGCCTACGAAGTTCGTGCCACAGTCGGAATAGA